ACACCTACACTGTTAATAGTTTGCACTTGTCTTAATCCGTTTCGTCTTCAACATCGTCCTCTTCCAACAGGGTTTCTTGATCTCTTCCATTGAGTTCGGCAAAAACTGCTGGTGAGCCGGTAGCTTCACTATCCTCTACGATTTTCGCTACCTTTGGTCAGAAAGACGATATCACGTGGCGCAAAGATTTTAACACTCTCCGGATTGAAGATCCGAAGTCCCTTCGAACCAGCGTTGCCAGATATACCGATATCGATAGATACCGATATACAGATAAGGTTCCTTAGAATACTGATCTTTGAGGTGTTATACCGATTTTTTTTTAAATAATAAAAATGATTATCGTCTGCCCGCGCTCAGTATTTCGGAGAAAATTTTTGTGTAAAACTTGTATCTTTTTGAATATCTCAAATTCGGTGGCTCTTTCTGGTAATTCCGAGGGAATCGGGAAATACGTTTTAAACATTATTTACCTTCCTGGATTTTCTTATAACTTGCTCCTGGAATTTTCTATTTACGATTCCTCTCGGAAACTTATTTCGACTTCCCTTGGAAGCTTATTCAGCCTTCGCTCGAGTGATTCTTCCCGGAACTTCATTGGATGCTTCTAGATTTTGATTGCGTATCCACACTAGCTTCAGGAACTTTTAAATAGTTCTGAAACTTCAGAAAAGTCCAGACTTTTGAGTAAGTTTCGATAAATTAAAGAATGTTTTAATAACTTCTGTTAAAATTCTAAAACCCGGTCCAGCAAACTCCAGTGAGCTTAAGGAAACATCGTAAATATTTTGGATACTTCACAAGTCCAAAGAACTTCTGGAAAATTTAATGGTTTTCAGGACAGTTCCATTAGTTTCAGGAGAATTGGCTCCGAAAACATCAGGACAATCAGATCAGATCAATAAATTTCAAGGAAATCGCTGAAATTTTAAAGAAGTTCCGAGAAACTCAGACAATTTCCGAAAACTTCAGCAATGTTCCGAAGGGCTCATGCAAATTTAAGAAACGTAAGGGAAGCTACACGAACATTAGCATATTGTGAGAACATTTTATGGGAAGTTCCGTGCTTATTAATGGCAGTGTCGATAACTTTTAAAAATTAGAAATATCGGGAATAAATGCTGATGTTACAATAAATTCAAGAAAATTGTGAGAGCGCTTAAGAAATTTCGTAAACTTCAAGAAAGTCTAGAGACCTTCAAAGTTGATTCCGGTAGTCTCAATCAAGGTTGCAAAGACTCATTTCAGCTAAAACAATGTTTTTCTAAATTATGAAATAATTAGATGCCATGATCAAACTTTGAATTGGTAGGATACAAGAAGAGGTTGCAAAGAATGTGTTTGACATATTAAACCTGTTTATTTCACTTTATGAGAGTCACAATCAGCGATTTTTCACAAACTCACTCACTCACTCACTCACTCAGCAAATCGCTAATTGTGACTCATAGAAAGCAAAATTTACAGGTTTTATGTTTCTAACGCATACTTTGTAACCTCTTCTTGTAAGTTACAAGTAAAACATGCCATCATACCATCTTTTGGTTTTATTATTCCGAAAAACATTATTTTAGCTGAAATGAGTCTTTGCAACCTGGTCTCAATCAAGGAAGTTCCAAGTATTTCAAAGATGATCAGAGTACACCAAAACAGCCCGAGGAAATATGGAATATTCCTAAGTACATTTGAGGAATGTTCCAAAAACTTCAGGAACCTTAGGAAGTTTCTGCCAGCGTCTCCAGGAAGATCAATTAAACTTCTCCCAGAATGAAGTAATGAAATTGGGTTGTTAGCGGAATGCTAAATAAAACAGCAAAAAAGGTTATCTTGCATTTAATTCCACTTAATTAATTTTGGTATCCATGACAGATACGTATTTCGACTACAATGTGCAGTCTTCATCAGTGTCATTCCCACTAAAGAACTTATCAAAATCTAACCCCCTTAAGTACTCATCCCCTAGGTAAAAAAGTCAAGATCATAGGTATAAAAATGAAACTACAATGTGTTGAATCGGAACCTACCTAACTAATGAAAACCAAAGATTTAAGTAAGCTAAAGGAGAAAAATCTATACAACTCTCTAATAAGGAAAATCCCCAAAGGCTTGGTAGCCATCATAATGAAGTAATGTTAGATTTTGATAAGTTCTTTAGTGGGAATGACACTGATGAAGACTGCACATTGTAGTCGAAATACGTATCTGTCATGGATACCAAAATTAATTAAGTGGAATTAAATGGAAGATAACCTTTTTTGCTGTTTTATTCTCCCAGAAATTTCTTTCTAGTTCTGGAATTTTGTCCAGTTGGTTTTTTTACTTCTATTGGAAGATTTTTCTGAGCTTCTTATGGCTTCCCCTGGAAATGGCTACTTCTAGAATTTATTTCCGAAACCTTTCTGCCTTCCTTTGAATGTGAAATCCGATTTTTTCCTGAAAGTTTCTATAAATTTTCGCCAAAAGTTTCTCAATTTATGTCTTGGAATGTTTTTCCGACTTCTCTCAGAAATTTCCTCAAATTTTTCCAGAAGAGCTTATTTCTTATTTCTCTGGCTCTTGTTTTCAGCTTCCTCCAGAAGCTGATTCCATCAAACATTCCCCGGAGTTTTCTTCCGGAATGTTCCGATTATAGTCCAAATGTTAAAATTTTTATCTTTCAAAAACGGCAAAACCTAAAATTAATTAAAATAGTAAATACCGATGAATAACGATTTTTTAAAACCTTCGATACCGATAAGCTTTAAAACATTCTGGCAACGCTGCTTCGAACTATCGGAATATCCAACGAAAACGCCAGGTTCAGATTTCGGATCCCACTTTGATCGCTTTGCCTTGGGCACATCACTTTCGCTCCGAACACACGTAGTTCAGCCAGGTCTGGCCGCACACCAGTGAACCGTTCTTCCGGGCTCACTTGCAAACCTGTTCGTCGATGGTCGGTTGATCAGGAATACAGCAGTTGAAACAGCCTCCGCTCAAAATCGCTTCTCCGGATGCGCATCAAACAGAAGATATCGCGTTCGTTCAACGATCGTTCGATTCGCTCTCTCAGCTCCGGATTGTACGGTACCGTAACCTTGTGGTGAATCCCGGATCTGCGACGAAGCTTTTCAAACTCACCGTTTACGTATTCTGTTCCATTATCTGTTTGTCGGTCTGGTTTTCCACCATCGACTTGAAATCTTGAAAACACTGCGGAACTTGCTGTTTCGACTTCAGAAAATACACTAACATCTTGCGGCTGTTGTCGAGTTCCGCTCTTCTTGAAAGGATGACGGAAATGTTTTCCTTCAAGCACGCACTACAAGTCTGGACCTCCTGCATCAACGAAATCTATCCCTGTTGATATGGATCTGAACATCTTGAGACTTTGCATGTTCAAATGCCCCACAACACCATGTCGGTTTCTTCCTTGGCCATGCAGAAAACTTGGTCATTTACCAAACATAGTGTATAGAGTCCACCGCTTTCTCTTCAAATAGCCACCATCTTCTCGTTGGAAGCCGATCCCACCTCGTATGCATCTTTCGAGAACCTTACTGTGTACATACTTACTTTTGATTCAAATTAGGTTTTGATAAAAACCTGGACATTTTTCGATCAGAAATGCCGTTTCCGTGCTACAATATTTAAAAAATTCAAGAACCCTTTGAAAATTTTACAAGATTCATAATGGCCGAATTCTAACAAAAATGTGAATCATTACCTATTACAAACAATTACCCAAAGTTTCATACAAATCGGAGAAAGTCAATACAACTTTTTTCACTATTTTGCCAGGAACTGATGTATTCAAAAATCACAGAAGCTTAACCTGCTAACGTCAATCTTATAGAAAGTACAAATCAGCGTAGTGATACTCAGGGATTATACGAATATAGAGTCATACCGAACTGTCTAGCTATTGACCTTGCACATAAAGTAAGAAGTAAATACCCACGTTCCAAAAATGTTGCCCTAGGTCGGTTCTGCCCTTTGAATATGGCAGTATCGGAAGACTATAAAACCCGGTTAGGATCCCATACCATGACGCATGACGACCACCACGATTTCGATGTCTGTGATAGGGAAATATGATTTGCAAGTTTTGAACTCCTGTTTAAAAGCAAACCGTTTCCCATTGTATCGTGAAAGACCTTTCCACCACTACTAACTGGCAGCACTGCTTTGGCTAGGAAATAATACCCCGATCCGACTTGCATAGACACCATTATCATAGCTGTGTGAGAAACCATCATAGTCCTGATGAATGAGAAAAAAAAACAGCAGCATTCAGCAGCAGTGCCCAAGCCATCCAGTGCCGAGCATCCCACAGCAACAACAACAACAACAACAACACAATAAAGCAGCAAACCCCGAACGGAGAGCGAGAAGCCAAAAGGTGTTGTTATACATTTTAACACACCAAACATACACATAGAGCGGAAAGAGACCGAGTATCGTCGTATCGTCGTGTGTATTATGCTTTCGAAAAGTTGAAAAATGGCCGCATCCAATTCGACGTCGGCTCGCCGCACTGGACTGGTACGATCGCTACTTCTGCTGCTGCTGCTGGACACGGTTTTTCGGTCGTCGTCGTCACCTTCTTTGTTCGGCCACGAATTGTCGGTGCTGGAAGTGAATTGATCAGCTACCGTGTTGAAATCTAGCAAAACGGCCGAAAAAGCAGAGCCCAGTGGCTCACAAATAAACGGGGAACGGCAAGTGTGTTAAGTTCGGGTGCAGAGCCGTGTGAAAGGTGTGTGTATTTCGGAAAAATATTTTGCACAACCCTCGACGGCAAAAGAAAAGTGGAAGGGACTCCGACACAGAGCACCCATAGAGTGTGTGCTATCAAAGTGTCGAATGTGTTCCGTGGTCGAGTAATTTTTGCGTGTGAATTTAATTCCGTTTCGTTTTTTTTTTTTTGTCCAGTGAGCATTTCCGGAAAGTTGGTGTGCAATGAAAATTCCAGTGGCAATGTCTGTGGAAGAGGATAATCTTGTACCAGATGAGCTAATAGCCGTAGAAGCAGCAGTAGGAAGCGCTTCCAGCTCCGGTGAGATGTGAAAGAGCGCTAGTTAGTGCAGTGCAGCCCCATAAGTTTATGTCGGATAGAGCGAGATAGGAAGCAGCTGGAAAATCGATTTGTACTTCTGCTTCTGCTGGGTAGTAGTACACCGTCGTAGTCGTCTTCGTCGTCGATATAGACCACTGTTAGGCTAAAACGGGGAGGGCAGTGTTCCACGGGGAAGGACTGTGGTGTGTCTGTCAAAAATAAAACACAAGAACACACAGAGCCAGCACAGACCTATTTCAAGTATCAACAAAAAAGCGAGAAAATAAAAAAAAGGAATCTCGCACTTACGGGAGAAGGAAAAGCAAAGCGAGAAAAATGCCGAGTGCTTCGTTTTCCTCGTCCCGGTCGTACGTGCGACGATCCCGCAGGAAGGGAAATCGGATTCCATTGCCGTCGAGAACGTCAGGTAAGAGAGCACTGTAATCATGCAAAGAGACGGGACGGGACGGGATCGACACAGGAACCCAGAATGCAAAAATAATCACACCTTTTTACACCCTTTCAGGGGGATATATCTTTGGTTTGCTGGATTTTAATATGTTACGCAAAAAGATGTCTACCCAATGCTTCCTTGTCATATCAAACAAATTTATCGATTTAAAATTTAAATTGTGTTAGCTATAGTGATAAAATCAGCATTTGTAGGGGTGACTGCAAAGAACTTATCTCCGATTTATGTATTTCTTTGTTGACAAATCATCTTTTAACGATTCGCAGCTGCTATCTACACCAAAGAGAAAAAAAATCACAAATTTAGTTACTATGTTGTCTGCAATACACGAAAAGCATTTCTTAAGTAAGTTGTAGAGACTTTCCCAAATAGAAGCTCAGAGAACCTTCAAAGGACTAACTAAAAAGGAAATCTTAAGAAAATTCAAGGGGACAAAAGACATGTAGACTTCTAGAGTACGTTCAAAGGAGTACAAGACGGTTCAGATTTTCAGAAGCATTTTATCAGACTTTAACGGAAAGCGTCAAGGACTTTCAGAGAAATTATAGTATTGCTCTGGGACATTCAAACTCCCAAAGAATCATCGCAGAACAGGAAGCTATTACAATTGCCATGTAAGAGTGGTCAATCAACGCCTTGTCATGCTCATCTGGTGTGTCTGCTGATGATGATGATAGTGGTCCACCACTCATTGTAGCACGGAAACTAGTCCGATAGCTGTGAGCTCTCCTCACTGTTGAACTTGATCAAGCTTAATAACCTCTGATTGTCATCAGCAAATCTCTGTATAAAGGGCCAACTACGAATGGATGAATTGATAGATGAATTTCATTTCCTTGTGACAGTTAAGAATCTCCTTGCAACAACTTGATCACCCAATTAATCAGAAAATGAGTCATCCAACAGGAAGATGCCCCAATGAATGGGGAGAAGAACCCGCCCTTTATCCACGAAATGTTTGCAACAGGGACTTGACATCTTCACTCTTCCCATCCATGTGCTGCTCAGAATCTTCTTCTAAAAACGAATATAGCCCAACTTACTCAGATGCCATTTAACTGAAGAGAAAACCTCCAATTGATGCCCAGCATCACAAACCGATGGTGCCGGGGGTGCAATAATATTGCGATGTCACTAATTACTAATACTTACTAGCAATGGTAACACATGATCAGTAGGAAATCAAAGTGGAGATCGATTTCGAATTACACAATAAAAAATATGATATCGCATCGAAAAAGATGCACTTTCACCCATTGCGAACCAGTTCGATTGGTCATTTTTGAATCATGATCTTGTAACTCTGGCTTTTAAGTCTGCGCTAGGGAAGTATGGCCTGTACATTTGAAGACATACTTCAAATCTCCAAAACTTCTTCAAAACTTCGCGTATGAAGTAACATAAAACACTATGAATGTAGATAAAATTGATAAACAGCAGATTTTTAGCGATGGGCCCAATCTTATCCATAGGCCAACATTAGAGCCATTTCCCCTATATGATTTAAATAGCAACGAGAAAAATTTACAACTCAATTTTCTGGTTTGTTTACATTTTTGACATAGGCCCTTTTCAAATGTTACACGAGAATTGAGCTTAAAAATATTCAAACCCTTAACCCTTAAGCTGACATCACACTTGTGGTAGATAGAGTTGGCGTGGAATAATAATGATTAAAAAAAAATGAAAATTAAGTCATGTAATGAAACGTTTAATTTGAGTAAATCCAAATTAGCGTGAATGAGAATAAAATCTAACTATCATTGCTTTGTGAGGGAAAATCCCGAGACAGCTAGCAGCGCAGCAGGGAACATTCTTTGGGTATAAATATGGGCTACCTAAGCTCGCAGAAGTGATCATTGCCCAGTCGCATTTGCTTGGCTCCAAAATCCCAAGTCCACTCGAGAACCAGGTTGCGCAGTGCGTCCAGACGTTAGATGTCTCCCGGGTTTGACGGAATATTCAACCTAGAGTTGAAAAATCTCAGCGCGAGGGTGCACTCGCTGCTGGCTGCCATCCTCAACAGGTGCCTGGAGCTGCACTACTTTCCAAGCATCTGGAAGGTTGCAAAAATCATCCCGATCCGCAAACCTGGGAAAGACCCTTCACTACCGTCAAGCTACAGACCGATTAGCCTGCTCTCAGCGCTGAGCAAGCTGTTCGAAAAATTGATCCTCAGCCGACTAAACAAGTTTGTGGAGGAACATGACATTCTTCTTCCGGAACAGTTCGGGTTCCGCAAGGGGCATTCCACCAATCATCAGCTAGTGCGGGTGATGAATAACATCCGAAGTAACAAAGCTGTATCCAAGTCCACAGCCATGGCCTTGTTAGACGTCGAAAAGGCGTTTGACAATGTCTGGCACGACGGACTTATATACAAGCTTTGTAACTCCAACTTTCCACCATACCTTGTGAAAATCACCCGTAACTATCTCCAGCAAAGGTCGTTCAGGGTGTCGTTGAATAGTTCCCTTTCGGGACAATTTCCGATCCCAGCAGGTGTTCCGCAAGGGAGTCTGCTGGGACCACTGCTTTACAGCATCTACACGTCTGACATCCCTCCTCTAGGAGACGGTTGCGTGTTCTTCCTGTTTGCAGATGACACCGCGATAGCCGTCAAGGGTAGGATGCCTCGTGAAATTACGAACAAGCTCCAACGATGCCTTGACACCTTTACTGATTATGCCACCACGTGGAAAATCAAAATCAACGCCTCGAAAACCCAAGCGATCATGTTCCTTCACAGACAATCGCAAAAACTTAAACCGTCTCCCTCTTGTACCGTAATAATGGATGGTACAAGGGTCGAGTGGTCCACTGATGTTACTTATCTCGGGATGTTGTTCGATGAGAAGCTCCTGTTCCGCTCGCACATAGAGAAAACCCTAGTCCGCCTTGGTTAGGTGTTTGTATCCGCTCATTTGCCGCAGATCCCGCCTCTCAAGGCAAAACAAACTGGCTGTCTACAAACAGATCATAGCCCCCGCGATCATCTATGCCGCCCCGGTGTGGGAATCGTGCGCTCAGACCCACAGGAACAAAATCCAGGTTGCACAGAATAGAGTGTTGAGGATGATCCTAGATCGTCCATTCGACACAAGAATAGCAGACCTCCATCAAGAGGCAGAAATTCCCAAAGTAGATTCCAAAATTGAGGATATGACAACCAAATTTATCCAAAAATGCAATATTTCTGAACATGCTTTAATAAGCAATTTGTACATAGTAGGTTAAGTGTATATAGTAGAGTAGGTTAGTTTTAAGCTGTAAATAGTAGTATTAAGTAGTTTCTCTTCAAATTCTAAAAACAAAACGAACCAATCCCACCAAGGTGGTCGACCGTGTACTAAGTCTAGGACTAATTCTTGTGACGAACTTTGAAAACAACGGATCAGTAGCAGTAGCAGCAGTAGTAGTAGCAGCAGCAGAAAAAGAATAGCAGATTCGTCTAGCCATGACCGAGACCGAGCCTGGAAACCTCGGTCCGGTCATGACAAAACTGTTTGACAAAACGTCAAATTAATATTTGGCAAATTTTGACAAACATATTTTACCAAGGTGTAATGACCAAATATTGCTATGGCAAATATTTGGTTTGTATTTGTCATTCCATTTATTTGGACTTTTTTATGTTTTGCCAAACATGGTCGCTGAAAACAGTCAAACAATTTATTTGATACTCTTGAAATTCTTGGGTATCAAACAACATCAAATATTCGTCGCTTGCTGTGACCGTATTTGATCACTGGAATAGACGATTTAAGGCCCAAGCGCAATTACAGCGGAAGCGAAACGGCAGCGTCAGTGGAAAAGTCCGATCTGAGTAAGCCTACTTGTCGAATTTAAAACAAGTTAGAACCAAAAAGACATCGGTTAGACATTTGGATGTCATTTGTGACAACTGTCAAACTTGCCGTTACCGTTCCGCTTCCGCCCAAATTGCGTTTGGGCCTTTATGTGAGAGACACATTAATTCAAATGCATTTTTGATTGAAAAGCGAACAATATCCTTCGCAGATCCTTTGGGATTAGGGGAAATGGCTCTAATGTTGGCCTATGGATCTAAGATTGGGCCCATTTTTATTCAGATGAACGCGTTATTGGGACGGTAGTAATGGTGGTCGTAATAATGGTTGGTCGCTATTGAAAATTTAGTCGATTGCTGAAGTTATGTATGGGCCCAAATTAGGGGCATTTAGGCCAACATTACATCCATTTCCCCTATATGTGGGCTTCTTTTTTTTATCTCCCGGACAAGTTCCTTCAGAATCGGTTTGAATAAAATCCAATAGAGAAAAAAAATAATTCGATGCGGCGTATTATTTGACACAGATTTTTTATGAGAAAACAAACTACACCATAACAATAGACTGGAGAAAAGGATTTGTTTGATCCAAACAAAACAAGATCGGAGGAGTTCATATGACTTCTTGGATAGTTTCTTTGAACTGGGATATCCGTTGGATTTTTCAAGGAAGTCCATGGAACCCGAAGCTTCCCATGATTAACGAGGAGATTTCCTCAACCTTCTGCACTTTGAACTCATCGTTCCGGAGATAAAGCCGCCGACGTTTGTTTTACCTCGGTTGGTTCCTAGAGCCTCTATCCAGCTATCCACGTGACATGTGCAGGGCTGGTAGCAGGTCACTTTTTAGTGACTAGGTCACCATTTTTAAGTCAGTCGCTAAAAAGTAACTTTTTGCACCACAAAGACACTAAAGTCACTATTTCTCTAAAAATAGTCACTTAAGTAACTTTTTTCCCATGTGAAGAACATCATCAAAATGTTTAAATTGAGTACTTGGCACTAAGGAAGTCTACAGTAGAAATATGCATATCTGTTTAAAAATAAACAATTATAACCAAGGTGACCGGAAAAAAAAATCAATAAATGTTAAAAAACCGTGTAAAACACTGTAAATCGGGGAAAATAAAACTTCGTTTTTCCGAAA